TGGTATCTAAATAAATAATAAAAATCACATTCTAATGTAATTTAAAGAGTGCAGTTTGATTTAAATCCCCACAAATAAAATCAACGAGTCTCAAAAAATGTGATTAAATTTAAGAATTTATATGTAGATATTTAGTTCCTTGTTAAAAAGAGGCATTCATGTGTTTTTTTTCACTGATTACAGGTCACGTTGGGGCTCCACTTCCATGTAACCTCATCAAGCTGGTGGATGTTCCTGAGAAAAACTACTTTGCATCTAAGGGCGAAGGAGAGGTAAGCAAAAATATTGTCTGACAGCGAACCTTAAAAAAAAATGTAAATAGTACACCGTTTTTAAAAACCAACTAGAGAAATTACATTTCCTGCGAAAATTCAGTGTGAATGCTTATTGCAGAAGAACTTGCTGAAAAACAGCTGAAATTAGCTAAAAATGCATCCTGAAATTTAGCTGAAGTGGAAGAACAAGCTTAAATTAGCCGAAAGAAAAACAGAATGAGCATGTTTGCTGAATTTGGTTTAAATAAGTAGAAACATTTGTAAATTAGCTAAAATAAAAAAGCTGAAATTAACAACAAAAAGAAGCTAAAAAGTAGCTGAAAATGCAGAAAGAAGCTTAAACTACCAGAAGGAAGTGGAAAGAGCTGAAATTAGCTAAAAATGTGAAATTAGCTGAAAAAGCTAAAATTTGCATAAAAACAGCTAAATAGTAGCTGAAATAACTGAAACTAGCAGAAATAAGCTGAAAGGAGCATGACAAGCTGAATTAGCAGAAAGTAGTTAATTATGCTGAAAGTAGCAGAAATTACCATGATAAACTTGAATTTAGCTAAAAAAAAACAGCTGCATTAGCCAAAAAGTTTGCTGAAAAAGTAGAACAAGCTTAAATAAGAATAAGAAAGCAGAAGGAATGCCCATTTAGGCCGAAAGAAGCAGGAATTAGCACAAAAAGTTAACATTATCCGAAAAATAAACTGAAATTGGCAATAAAGTAGCTAAAAAAGAAGAAAGAAGCAGAAATTACCAGAAGGAAATGGAGAGAGCACATTTTTATGAATTAGACTGAAAAAAAGTTTAAATGAGTGCAAAAAATGTGGAATTTGCTGAAAAGGCTGAAACAGCTGAAACTTGCAGAAATAAGCTGAAAGGAGCATAACAAGCTGAAATTAGCAGGAAGAAGTTAGAAGATGCACAAAAATGTTGTAGTTAGCAGAATGAATCTGAAAGGAGCACAAAATGGCTGAAACATCAGCTGAAATTAGCTGAAAGTAGCTGAAAAAGTTTAAATTTACACAAGGAAGCTGAAGCAGAACAAAATGTGAAAGCAGCAGTAAAAGGTTGTAAACAGATCTAAAGATTTGAAGGATGTAAAATGAGCTCAATTCATTTTCTTTAGGAAAAAAAAAGTGGCAGAAAAGGCTAAATGTTCCACAAAGTTAAAGTTGCACCAATACCAACAGTTATAGCAGGATTGTCATGAAAGAGCTGAACGTTTCCATATATGATTGTTGAAATAGCTTCAAAACTGCTGGACAAGAATTGCACAGAAGATAAATGGATCACAATAGTGTGAATGCTTCATAAACATTCACACAATAATATTTGTTTTTAGACTTTGAACATGGGAAATGGGTGTTTGCTCAAGGTTTGTTGTGAACTGATCCAAACTATTTTTCATCCAGGTTTGTGTGAAAGGACCAAACGTGTTTAAGGGCTACCTCAAAGACCCGGAAAGAACAGCCGAGACTCTGGACACAGACGGCTGGCTCCACACTGGAGATATCGGCAAATGGCTACCGGTGCGTTCAGGAACCTCTGATTTGATTAAGGTGTTTGGACTTTCCTTCTTGTTTTTCTTTTCTCATTTAACTTTTGGTTTGCTGCAGAATGGCACGTTGAAGATTATTGACAGGAAGAAGCACATCTTCAAGTTGGCGCAGGGCGAGTACATCTCCCCAGAGAAGATCGAGAACATCTACATCAGGAGCGAACCTGTGGCTCAGCTCTACGTTCATGGAGATAGTCTGCAGGTAAAACTCATCCACGCACGACCACTGTGGCACAGAGGAATTCTCATCTACAGTAAATGACTTTGTTTGGGTCACCACAACCTGGATGTTTTAAATTTGCTTTAATCTCTTTTTCAGTCATGTTTGGTAGGAATTGTGGTCCCTGACCCTGAAGTAATGCCTCAATGGGCCAAGAAGAGAGGCATCCTGGGTACCTACAAGGACCTGTGTAAAAACACAGTAGGTGGAACATTGCATTGACACTAACTTAGGTTTGGGTTAAACAATTTTAGGAGTAAATCATAATTAACTGTTTTTCCTTAACAGGAATTAAAGAAAGCAATCCTTGAAGATCTGGTGCGTCTGGGCAAAGCCAGTGGCCTTCTATCTTTTGAGCAGGTAATAAGACGGTATTTAGACACGTTTTTTTACCCAAATTGTCAAAAGTTTGCAGTTTTTTTATTTATTTATTTATTTATTTTTTCCAGAAAATCTAAGTTTCTTTCAGTCTTACAAAAAATGTATTCAATTTTATTTGCTCTGTCAGGACTATAACGATTTAAAAAAACATAAAATGGGTTGCTTCACTGAGTAGAAGAAAAACATCACTGTGGTCATAATGTGGATTTAGTTTCAATATGAGCAAAGTCATTATTAAAAAAAAAATAAATAAATAACAGTGTTTTCACTCTTTTTGTATTTTGTCCTAAAAACCTTTAGTCCTAGTAAGGCAGATGACCATGAATACAGTAGCTCTCGTTGCATTCCCACTCTTGTATAATTACAGAAATAACATGTAATTAGGGATGCATGATATTGGATTTTTGGCCAATATCCGATATGCCAATATGTTCAAACTTATTTGGCCGATAACCGATACCAATACCGATATTTCCCCCCCTAGACCTACTTACAGAGACTACATAGCTTTTTCTGCTGTGGAATTAAAATACTACATTATTCTGCATGGTCTTTGTCAGTTTGGCCTGATGCCAAATGCAGATGCCAAAAAGGGTCTGAAAATGATGTAACACTTCAACTTGGATTATGTTTAATGAAATTTATTCATGATATTTACTCTAACACAATGTCAACTCTCAAACAGTCATACAACAGCACCTTTATTTATTTATATACTGTATATGTATATATATATATATATATATATATATATATACATACTTTGTAAATATACATATATATATATATATATATATATACACATATATACTATTTAACAGCGCCTTTTATATCGGTGAGTTATTTTGATGGAATGGCCCATGTCCGACTGTGATGGACTTGCGACCTGTCCAGGGTGTACCTCGCACAGTGATTGCTGGACATGGGCACCAGCAACCCCCGTGACCCAAAATGGAATAAATGGGTAAAGATAATGGATGGATGGATGGCCCATGTCCGATATTTAACTTTATCGCTAATATCGGCCGATACCGATACCATGCAGATAATATTGTGCATCCCTACATGTAATGTGTTTCTATAACCATGTATAACTATTTTAAATCAACCAAACATAAAAGCTATGACATCATATTACCAAGGTTGATAAAATTCTGTGAATTCTGTGTGGAAAAACACTAAAGTTTTATTCATGAAGTACAGTGGAAAATAAAAAAAAAACTTTTTTTTTTTTGTCTAAAGCTACATTTATTTAGTAATACGTGCATTCTAAATATGATAATTTATCATTTTTTTCTTTAAAAGGTGAAGAACATCTATGTCCACAATGAGATGTTCTCCATTGAGAACGGCCTCCTGACTCCGACGCTAAAGGCCAAGAGACCAGAGCTGAAGGAATTCTTCAAGGCGAAGATCGACGAGCTCTACAGCAACATCTGCATGTGAATGTGCAGCAGACCTCTGTTTTTTTTTATTTGAGCATTCTGACACAAAAGATCAGCTTTGAGCAGTGACATGCAGCGTGACAAAAATGTGTCTCATGAGCCTGAAAAAGCTTTGAGAACAAAAACCAAAAGTGTCCCAACAGTGGGAGATTTAAAATGGCTATAAAGAGACAAATGAAAGAGAAAAATAAGTGACACAAGACAATACACAATGTCATGCATATTTATGTCTTATTAGGGCATTTACTGGCAAAAAATATTCAGATTATATAACAAGAGGATTCTTATTGACTTTCATTATCTAAAAACTGGCGATTCATTTGCTTTTCCTGACATGAATTCGTGTCACTAAAAAAGAAAAAACTGATCAAAACACTAAAGTTGTGAGTTGCACTTCCGACGGTGTCTAGCAGAGGGCAGCATAGACTTGAATATGCTTATATTGCTCTGGGTTATGCAGAGATTGTATGAGAAGGTGCAAGCCAGCTTTTTATTTTCTGACAAACCATTAAGGTGAGAATAAACAACAGTCACCTGTATAGTCTTTTCAGGGGAACAACTCTGTCCTTTCGATAAATTGTCTTTTTTTTATTTTTTTTTATTTTTACAGATGTTTTATTCTAACTGACACAAAGAAAATACATAACAGTGATGTATTTGTACATTTTTTTGTTTGATTTGTTTTTATTTAGACAACTTAAATCTTCCCAACGTTGCATCAGATCTTTGCTTATCTCCTAGCGACAGGAAACAAAAACTATCTCACGTGAACAATGACCATCTCATATTTCCCATCAGTCCCTTCTCTCCCTCATCCGCTTTAAACTGACCAGCCAAATTACAAATGTACTCTAGTAAGACAGTCATATGGCAGCAAAAGTGATGTCCTTGTGTTTAGAGTAGCTCCTGGAGATATCTGAACCTTGTAGGACAGTGGGAAAATAAAATAAAAAGATTTTCAGTAAGTGAAAAACTTACTGTTGCAGCAGTTCCAGTAGGGAGAACTACTCTGATCTGGTAAATCTTTTAGCGTAGGTACTGTTAATGACTTTGAGCAGGTAAAATGAAAAAACTGATCTAGAACGCTTCTTCATTTCAAATGACTGCTGTCTGCACTGTTTTTTTTTCTTTTCTTTGTAGGGCATCACAAGCCAAATTTAGCTTTTTATGTTCATTCATTCATTGCAGCAAGACATTACTAAGTGGTTGTGGTGAAACATTCAGCATGCATGGACTTTTTCCCTGCGTAAAAAATTGCTGAGAGTAACGGTCATCAAACGCTACAGATGGTGCAATCACAGCTTTCTTTTTTTTTCATCGTTTTGCACAAAGAATGTGTCAGGTTGAAAAATCACTATTGCAGAACCAGGGGTTGGGGCAATGCATGCAGTTTGCCCTGCTGTTCTGGGAGAATTTGCATTTGGCTTGAAATCAAAGCCCCTTTTTTTGTTATTTTACTTAATTTTTTTAGAAAAAAGGAGGCTGCAGTTGCCCACATCTACAGTTCAATCTCTGGGCTATATGTAACTTTCGCAAAGCTGATAATAAATTCCTTCCTCTGAGATGAAATAGAACCAACACCTACTTTTTAATAAAAGGTACATTTTATTTCAGTTGATTTACACAAAGACGTAATGTATAGGCTTTTAATGTTGATTACCGTCCCAAAGCATCAAACAATGTAGATGTACATAAACGAGGACAGCTAGATGTAGGCATATTTAATAAATCAATGGTTTGAATGATTGTTTTTTTTTTTTTCTTTTACGTGTAGTAGGAAGAAATGTACTTATTTATTTATCTATTCTGATGTAAAATGGAATCAGCACCATATCCTTGATAATGATTGATTGCAATAAAAATTGGGGTAGTGGAGGATGGGGAGTAGGAAAAGGGTTGTGAAATAAATGATATTCTGGAATGATTTTAAACCATTGCGTTTGTCTTTATATGTGTATTCAGTTCTATGTTTGGTCTAATGAAACAAAACGAAACAAATGCATCAACATGTTTAAAAGGTACAGGTAATTATTGTTTTTATTGATTTGTGACAAGGCAACACAAACTTTCCTATGTACCTAAAATATAATAGTCTTACGTAAAATGTTATTTTGTATATTTCTTTTTACTTAGTTCCAGTCTTGCAATTTTCTTAGAAATATATACTTTGTTAAATCATTTATGCTGCTCTTCAAAACATTAGACAATTTAAATAAATAGCCGAACTGAAATTCTAATTCCAAGCAAAAGTTCCTGTTTCCTTAAATTTTCTTCTTTTAATAAACACAAGGTCACAAATTAACAAAATACCAGCAATAAAACAATCTTTTACACCAACAAGGTAGTTCTGAAAGAGCACAAACCTATATTAGTATTTAAAGTTGTCCTGTCAAATTTGAACCTGTGGTTTTCAAACATGGCAACTTCTGACCCCCAAAAAAGTCCCTGACGTCGTCATCATTGACAGGCCGTACCTCGCCCACAGTTTGTAGTTATGTCTATGCATGTTTGTTTTTTTTGGCCACTTGTATACAAACGTATTTGTAAATTAGTTTTATTGGTATTTTACGTTGTGAGCATAACGTGCATTATTGCCAAGTAAACTGGAAGTACAAATGACAATATCTAGACCACAATGCATCGCAAAATACTGACTTTGAACATGCGCATTAGTACCTGTTAAAAAAAATAGATTTTTCCTTTTTAATCTGCCGAGCTATCATTTGGGTGTAGTTGACAACAACTTCACACAAAGGAAGTGAAAACTCCGCCCACCCGGTTAGCGGATTTGTCGGCTGGGTTACAAATGGTGCGCAGCCACTGACTCAACAATACGTCACTCGTTTAGGAGATTGCCATTTATCGTTTGTTTCGATAATCTTCCTTTTTGCGTCGACTAAAATTAAGAAATTAGTACAAGGAACTTGCTTAAATCAATAAAATGATGTTACAGTGTAAAATAAACGCCAGATTTTATTTATATAATTATTTTCTTTAGGATTTTTAAAATGATTTTCGTATATAAAAAAACGTATCTCGAGAAGAAAAAAATATCCATTAGCAACGCCAACTGGTTGGTGTGCTGGTTGCTTGGCGACGCGTAGGACAAGATGGAGGGCAGTGAAAGGTACTTTTAGCATGCAGAGTTTTTTGGGTTTTTTTTTTTCCCCTCTGACGTTTAAAGTTGATTGATCTGGAGCTAAGGTGATTTAAAATGATTCGACGCAAGCGCAGTGACAGCTGGTTTCCCCATAAACGAGACACACCCGTAAAAACAGCACTGAGGCGTCGAAAAAGTAAGAAACTTCACTTAAAATACGCAAATACATTTTTTGCGTGCACACATTGTCGTGTACTAAGTTGTTTGCACTTTAAACAATCATATCAGCTTAATGAACATAAATATATTCAAATATTTTATTCTAAATGCCTATTTCCAAACTTTCAGAGAATAAAGGACTTGGGTCCAGGAAACATGATTTTCCCACACTACCAGAGGAACCTGAAGGGGATGATTTGAATGATCCTATTGTTAAACCAGTACGTCTCGTGGGGGTGAGTGTATTTTATTTTTCTGTACAGAACTATCTGAGCCAAACTGGTGGCCTCACAAAACTGGGAGACTCGAAAAGCAGGGAGAAGATACTGTGGGATTTTCAGGTCCAGACTAACAGGTGAAATCTGTGGCAGGTGCCATGAAATCCCTGGCTACCACGATTTGAGCTCGGCCCTGCTGGCCAAACTGGAAAAATGGCTCCCAACAGATCCCAGGCACAACCTCAGAGACCTCTGTCTAGAAGATCCCAGTCCTTGGATGGAGAATAATATTCTCGCTTTATCTTACTTACTCAAAAAGGACCCCACTTGACGGCAGGAGAAGGTTACATAAATATCCATAAAGTACACACATGAAAGTACACCAGTTATGAAAATCTGCACGGAGCTGCCTCGTCAGCTTGCTTTTATATCTTTATCAGTTCAGCTGAGTTCACAGAACTCGGAGGTGCGCTTGGCTGCCAACTGTCTGCTGCTGCCTCACTCAGCTTCTCATCCAGCTCTCTAACCCAAACATATGATTCATGGGCAGAGTCAAGATTCTCACCGTAATAATGACAACATTCATAACTTTTGACCAAAAAAAATTCCTAACAATTTATTTACACACAATATAAATATTGTTGGTAAACAAATGCAGTCAGGCACACATTTGTCTTACAAGTTTTTATTTAGGAGCACATTAACCATCATTATGATGAAAATATTGCATGAATTTTGTTTTTTTTACTTTATTTATTTGACCAAAGACTGCAACCTTTAAACCGTTTTTGTTATACTCCTTACGTATTTTCTATTTGCACCTACAGGTTTGTGTTGGGCCAGTCCACTGTACGTCTGTGTCATCCCCGAGCAGCCCTGCAATTTCTGAAACGCCAAGAAACCAAGCCACCCCGTCTGTTACACCAGCTAAAAAACATCCTGGCCATCAACAAACAGCTCATCTAACCAGTGAGGTGTCCCCAGTCGTCAAGGCTCCTGAAGACGATGATACTCCTGATAGTGTCATTTCTTGCAGCATGGAAACAGGCTCCACTTTAAACTCAGTTGACGGAGACGATGCCAACCATTGCTCGTCTTCCTCCACACTCTTGAGCAGCTTGCCTTCCCCTGAGATATTCAGAAGAGAAAGCAGTGGTGTGTTTCTTGTCTTTTGTTTAATATTTAGAACAGCAATGATGTAACATTTTGTATTTTTTTTATTTTGCCTTTTCTTGTCTTCACAGTGGAAGCTACAACTTTTCTTACCAAGAATGAGTCACTGAGTGTAAATCTCATAAAAAATTCCACCTTGTTGGAATCAAGTCGTGCTGAGAACATCCACATGCATCACCCTCCCAACCTTTCTATCATAGGTGCTACTTCATAAAAAAGTCACTTTTATCATTGTTTTAATAGAGTTTGGCTAAGTTAACATGAAAACAAACACAGTCTGCTTTAAGTAAGAATAATGTATTTTGATGCCAACGGGTTTGCAAAGGTCCTAAACTGTCAATTTTGATCTGATTTCCGACGTTTTGGTCAGAAGATGCTACAATGAATTTGGCTGGAAAGAACTGTGAGGTCAGGTGAGTTTTTCAGGCTCATTATCTGCTAAAGGCATTAAAAATATACATGTTTGACCAATGCAAACAATGTTGTTTTTCTTCATCAAGCCACCAGCAAAACCTTGAAAATAGGAGTCAAATGCAAACAGACTTGATTAAGTCAGGTAAAAAAAAACTACCTAAAAAGACACAAACTGGAGATTTTTCTTTATATTGTAAGTTCTGAATGTAAAATTTAACAAATCTTTCCGTTACAGAGCCTTTAGATGACCCCCTCAAGAGGAAAACCCCACCAAAAGTAAGACAACCTGAGTTTCTGTTGCATTCAACATTTCAAATACCCCTTTTTAAAATGCAGTGTAAGGGTGTTTAATGTCACTGTCAAACATTTCTTTTCCACAGCTCACCAAGAAAAAGCTTATTTTGTGTAAGAAGAAGGTCTGGTTTAAAAGCCCCATCACTACCGAGGCTTTTAAAGCCCAACGCAGCACACCCTCCTGCTCAACCACTCAGAACACCAGCGCGTCACCTAGCCGAATGAAGCTTGATCCAGATGCATCCAAAATGTTTGAGATCAGCTCTAAAAGTGAAACGTTACCTCTTTCGGTGACACTCAAAAGACCTGTACGAACAAGCTCTGCCATGTTCTTCGACTTTGGCTGTGAGAATGAAAGAGAGGCCTTCTTTCAGAAAATGAGAAAAAGAAGCGCCAAGCTCAGAAGTTTTGTCTTTCCTTCCAGACTAGACACACAACATCCTCCATCTCCTGACTGCTAGTTACAGTTCACACTGAGCGGTTCATCTCAGGAAGATGACGTGTTAGTAACACGCCCGTTGGATACATAGATGTTACAGAATGGATGGAGATTACTAAAATAGACCACAGAGAAGGTTCAACTTTAATTCAAACACAGTGACGGTGTAAAGAAAAGACCTACTGTGGCAGAGATTTTTGTTTTAATGATCTAAATTCCAGCGTAAGTTTACTTTGTTAGTGTTTTATAATATTAATGACGCAGCAGAAATCCATGACACACTAGGATTAAATAAAGCACGTGTTGTCACAGAAAATACAGAATTAGGGGTTTTTCTGGATCAGAGCAAAACTGGGTGTCTAGGCTATACAGTATGTATGGCTGAAATACTAGACAATGTGCTTGCCCATTACAAATCAAACGAACCTTTCTGATTTTAAGTCCCAAAAATCTGTTGCACTATGCACTTTTTGTGTTTTGTAAGTATTTTATTGTTGGTGGTTATAACATCTTCCTAACTGAACCTGTGTCTTTCAGTCTACCAGACTTTATTCAATGTGGGCATTCAAATCTGATCTCAGTTCACATAAATTGCCGCTAGATGGCGGAGTTGTACATGTTAAGACCCATTTTTCTTTGTCTTTACAACCTTTTATTTTCATTCAACCTTTATTTATGTAGGTTTTGATTGTTATTATCAACCGCACATATTTGTGTTTGTTTTTCTAAATGAAATTATATTTGTATGTACTTTACTTGTGTCACTGAATGTGTTGTAACTTTAAAGAAAGTTAGATGTAAAGTTCTAATACACATTTGCTCGGGTTTGCCAGTAAAAATGCGTACAATAAATGAAAATAGTGTAACGACCTGTATAAATGAGTCTGCTTTGTCCACACATTTAATGGTTTAACAGTTAATTTCATTTAAAATGTGCAAGTCTTGAACAATGCGTTGCAAGTCGACCAAATGTTAAATTTCTCACTATATTTCATGCTGTCAGGAGGAGTCCTGACAAAACATCAACACGGAGAACCCACTAACCACGTGGGACGTGGCCAAAAATATCAACCAATCAGATCATTTGTTGTAGTTGCCGCGTCTGCTCAGCCAATCAAAAAAAAGGAGCGGGTTACCAAGCGGCTCCTGTGACTAATGCCTGTCATATGACTGTGACACCCATGGAGACAGTTACAAGGAACAAGACTTGGTCTCGGATTTGAAAACAAAAAGAAACCTGTACCGAATTTATGTAGGTGCACAATGCCACCGACTCTCTTCCAGAAACTTTTCAACAAGAGAAATGCGCTCTCGTCGCCGCCTCTGAGATGTAGCAAAGAGGACCCAGCTTTCAGGTATCTGTTTTGTTTGTGTGTTACGTGAGGCACGCTAACCCATTGTTTTTAGTTCGTTGTGTAATTTGAAGTGGCGCGTTTTTATTTAGGTGGAAGGTACGACAAACGAGCTGCTTAATGTAGGTAATTAAACTTTAGTGAAGGAAATGGCAGACGTTCCTGTTGTTGAAGCGGTTAGCTAACATGCTAACGGTAGCCCCAGCGATGCTGCTGCACGCGCAGGCTGAGTGGCTTAGCTCATTAGCAGCCACGCTTGTTGTCACGTACGCAAATATCTCCGCATTTATCGTAAGTAAACCCACACAGTAACGCTTCTCTTTACCAGCTTGTGGTAAGGGAGTTACAGGAGCAGCGTGCTGCTGAGTCTTTTGTTTCCCCTCGTGTTTCCTTCATGATCTCGTCTTTGGGGCAACATTTCTCGTTCACGGCTTTAGAAAACAATCATGTCCCGCTGCCTTACGGTTCAACTTGAGCTGAGATGCTGCAAAGTACAAGCGGCTTTTTGCAGACTGTGTTGTGCGGAGGACACTGTGTGCTCATGTGATGGCTTAATAGAGACGGATCGATTGCCTGACAGGGCATCTGCCTCTCCAGGCCGTTTACACCGTTTTATATAATAGTTTAAAACGACACCATCTGGGTTTTTAGCTTGTTTATTTGATCTAAATACCGTTTTTATATTACACATGTTTGTTAGTCTATCCTGATTTTGTACGCAATAAAGTGATGCCTGAAACGCATGAAAATGTTAATATTGACTTTATTTTTAACTTTAAACAGAAGATTCACTCAGTTTAAAATAAAATAATTTTTTTATGTAGAGTATTTTTTTCAGGTTCAGTTTTATTCATCCAACCTTTATTTAGACATGTTAATCCCATTGAGCCTCCAGGACTCATTTACAAGAGAGACCTGATTCCAACAAAGAATGATGTCAATGGACAACAATAGACAATTCTAAAAAGGCATACAGATTTTTTTTAATTTTTTTTTACAAATTACAAAAAAGTAGCAAAAACAGCTAGATTCTAAGGCGAATGTAGAAAACTGAAAACAGGAACATGTCTGCATTGGTCCTTGCCAGGAGTCCAACAGATTCTTAAAGCCACACTTGAGGTCAAGGTTGAGAGCTTCAGATCTTTTTGCAAGATATTCCAGGAAACAATTAAAGTTAAATCTGGTCCTTTGGACATTGAAAAACATAAAACAACAAAAAAATGTAGAAATGTTTCGTCTTTCAACTAAGGAAGTCCTTCGGATGAAAGACGAAAAGTTTCTACATTTTTTTGTTGTTTTGTTTTTGAATGTCCAGAGGACCAGATTTAACTTTATTAGATTTTTCTACCTGGATTATTGAGCATGCATCAGGATATTCCAGGAAACAGCGGAGTAGAACACTGGGAACACTGCAGGTAATAATGTCCTGAGAGCGCACGCTGTAGGTGCACTCACGCAGAGACATGTAGGTTGAGATGTGGTTCATTGTTAATACTATAACATTTAATCTTTACTATCACTAAAGAAATTTACTGAACATAACATTTTTTTAATTTGAAAGCATTTTGCTTACTTTTCCTTTTTATTAACATCACCTATGATGAATCGAACATCATTTAAAAAAAAAAAAAAAAAACCTTCACAACACAGACTTATAGGAGTATTTGCATTTTTTTTATTTTCATAAAACACCATACCAGCTTTATTGTACTTGAAGCACTTTAAATAACAAGAACAAAGTGATAAACAGAACAATCGCTAAGCTTTAACTGCTGTCACATGCAATTAAAAAAATAATGTAAAACAACCCTAAAATAAAAGCAAACAAAAGTCAAAATTTCACACAATATTAGAGTTAAAAAGAAGAAAAGAGTTTTAAAATGGGATTTACAAACTGATGGGGAAGTGGTCTGTCAGATGTGCAAAGGCAGGTTATTCTTCAGTTTAGGAGCAGGCACAGAAAACACTTTTAACCTGTCAACCCCCACCCCTCTACCTCAGCTTATTTGCATCATTTTGAGCACCGTCAAGATCAGCTGATCAAAATAGTGGTTTTAATGTAAGAAACCAACCGGCTTAGTTCTTTTGTTTTCTTTCAAAACAAACTGTTTTGGCATCACAGTGGTTTGCAGTGGCATTTTGTACAATTAGAAGTCCATTACTGACATGGGAGATATTGTCCATCACAAGCAGAAGCTGCAGACTTTCTTTTTATGCTGAGTAAATGTGATAAAACCAGAGGCTGTGAGGAGAAAAATATGCTTTTAAGAGCAGAATGCAAGTCCACGCAGCAAATGAAAAAGTTTTAGTATATCTCCAAGCTTCATACCAAGCTGTTTAAGTACTTATTGCGGTTGTGTTCAACTTGGCAGAGCGATTCGTCATTGAGCTGGTTAGCTTGATACAGAATACTCCCCGAGTTGATTTGCAGTTTGTATGCACATTGGTATGTTCATGTGCGCATTCTTGATCAGGGTCAGGCATGCCACCAAGGGGAAAGTGCTTTTCTTTTTGTTGTAAATGCATTTATTTAATTGGAAGATGTAGCTCTCACCATTTTGCTGTTTGTGGATATGTTTACCATCAGACCTCAAAGCTCACCTTTGTGAGGGGCTGCTTGCACTTTGGCTCATGTCTGTGCCAGGGTACATTTCTGCTGCCATTAAGGTGCACCCACTGTTATAAATGGTGGGGGTGGGGGGGAGACGGCTGGCATCAGTCCTAGAGCAAACAGACAGTCAGCAGGCGTTTCTGTTAACTCTGTGGTCAGCTGGGCTCTTCATACCTTTTTGGCATAAGCTCTCCATTCATCAAGCATGGAACGGCTCTGAAGGGGGGAAATCTGTCAGGAGACATGGTGGCTGGAAGGGACACGCAGACGACACATTCTGTTTTTAATCGAGACCCACTGAAGACCTCTAGCAAGTTGTCTTAGAACTGTTGCTCTAATCATATTTCCAAATTTGTAGAAAAATATTTAACTCTTCCATTGCAAGTAACAATTATCTAGTTTACCCCAAAAAAAGTTTGAAGCCAGTAAATTGACGACAAAACTATCCAAATCAAAGCAAACAAAAAATATATTGTTTTGCAACCGTCTTGCCTTGCATAGTACTCCATCCACCCAAAACACCATCAGATCACATCACGGTGGCTTCCAGAATACCACAGAGGGCATCAGGCTGGCTGACCTAAAAGCTTCTCCTCCTTCCCTGGTTGCTGCGTTTGACCATGGCATACTGTACATTACACCGAGAGCCTCTGGCTCAGTCAGTAGCTTCCTCCTCTCTGCCACACTCAGGTGGGTTGAGCTGATCCGGCGAGCTGCTGAGAAAACGACCCTCTTGATTTAAACCATGTGTCTTTAGTCAAATGGGATTTATACTGGAAGGGGTGTGTGTTAGTTTTCTAAGATGGTACTGAAAAGTTAGTCGTGTTTTATATGAGGTGAAAAAATGTTTGAGAAGGCTTCACAAATTAGGTTGTACTAGTCAGCATTTTTGTGTTTTAATCTTTTGAGATAAAAAGTGTAATAACTAATTTAGGTCAAAGTTCTGGTCTGATTTTTCTGTTTTTTGGTCATAAATGGTCACCGTGTAATGAAGCCTAAAGTATTAAACGTACCTTTTAATTATTGAGTTGCATTTAACATACTGTATCCATGACATTCCCACATCTTTGCACAATTTAATCTAGATTGGATTTATGTATGACGCGCCATTTTTTTTTATAGTTCAGGAGAAGTAAAGTCTCAGGTTCCACACTGGCATGGCATCCTTCCTTCACTGCATAGTTTCATAAGGTGGTGTGTCATGTGAGGCTTCATTAATCTCAGGCAGTCATGTTTGTGGAATGATCACATGGTCCAGTCGCTGGTACACAGCCACGAGTCAGATTAGGTACCATGATAAATGTTACGCAGTTTAACCAAGTTATCAACTACTTTTTGAATTAAATTATTTTTTTATTTGTCGTTTTATGTAACCTGCTTCATCCTATGTGAGCATCCTACATTTACCTTTTAATCACCTGTATTCATGCAAAACTAATTCATTTCATTGTATTTTCGTAATGTATCATCACCGTTATCGATGATAATTTACTCCTGTCATAGCTGTGTTCCCAGTATTAGATGTTCAAAACAAGGCAGAGTTCAGTTTATGTTTTATTACAGTTTGTACTTGGGACAGTCCAATTTTTTCTTTGTTTACTTGCTACAGATTATATTTAGAGTACCAGTAATGAGCAATGTCGACCACACCTCGTTCTCTCTTGGCCACACTTTATTATTAAACTCAGTCCAGAAAGTGTTACTAAAGGAGAAATGTGTAAGATTATTATTTTTTCCTATTTGCTAAGGTACAAACAACTTATTGATCCACAGCCCCTTTTCCAGCTTAATGTAAGATTATTATTTTTTCCTATTTGCTAAGGTACAAACAACTTATTGATCCACAGCCCCTTTTCCAGCTTAATGTAAGATTCTCTCATGGATTTAAGCTCCTATTGTACATAAACGTTGAATGGGTTTGATCTGTTGTATTGTCAAACAAAGCTTTTTGTGGAGAATTGAGAAAACCACTTTTTGAAAAAACTGCAAACTGTGCACTGAACAATGTAAAAACATTATTTAAAAAACAACAACAACAACAACAACAACAACTGTCGATGGTGTTGGTTTAATCAAGAAGACATTTGCAACTTTTAGATCATTTCTAGGGATGCACATTATTATCAGCGTGGTATTGGTATCGGCTGATATTAGCTATTACGTTAAATATCGGACAATGGCCATTCCTTCAACTCACCGATATAAAAGGCTTCTGTTTTAAGTTAATTTTTAATTTAAGGAAATGTCAAGTATAACAGACTATTAATGCACTACTGCTTATGCACTTGTCACTTGTGAACAGGTTGAGTTTAGATTTGTGAAAAATGGCAAATTTGCACTGTTCAAGTGTTGTCATTGTGTTTGAGAGAGTAAATGTCATGAATAAATTTGA